GTCATTGCAACCTTAGGAGGAGCGACCTGCAGGGAACCCCACTTCCTCCTCCCTGCAGGATGCAAGGTGGCTCCATGATGGCCCCAGCTTTGTGAATGGCAGTAGGGAAGCCACCCAGAGAGGCTGCTACTCTTGGCAGCAAGGACAAGCCAACTGGGCGGGGGGGCGGGGGGAAGCCAGGGCTTGGCCCCACTGTCCTGGGGGCTGGTGAGAGGGGACAGAGAGGGAAACAGTGCCCCTCCAGCTACCCAGGACTAGGTCTGCCCTGTCCAGGGCCCAGCAGGGGCTCCTGCTTTGGCTCAGACCTGTGTCAGTCTTGCTGAGTGTGTCACCTGTCCTGGGAGGGCCCAGGACTGAACGTGTCCTTTCTGGGGCCACTGTCCCTGCTCAGAGGCCTTGTGGTAAGCCCCAGCTCATGTGGACAGGAGGTCCAGTCACCCTGGTGTCACTTTTCTGATCACTGAGGATGGCCAGGATGGCCCTTAAGGCTGCTGGGGGTCTAAATTGCAGTTTCCATCTAGATGGGACACTTTGGGACATGCTAGATAGCCTCTCCTAATGCAGGGAGAAATTGGAGAGGGGCAGGGGGCAGGGCTTTTAATGAAAACCCTTTCTCAACTTTGAATCTGGGCATTACCAGCTTTAAAAATATTGGTAAAAGGTCCCAGGATTTAGCTCAGTGGTTCTGCTGCCAGCCTCACAAGTGGAAGGTTCCAAGTTTGATCCCCGGTACCAAAAAAAAAAAAAAAATTGGTAAAAGTTTTAAACTTAAGCCCTTCCACATTCCCTCTCCTTCCTGGAACTACCTGAGTTGGCTGAGGAAGGTGGAGGCACCCACCTTGGTCCTTGAGCCTGTCTGTCTGTCTGTCTGTCTGTGTGTCTGTCTGGTAGTGACTCGGGGTCTCTGCAGAGGCAGCAGGAGCCTCCACCCTCCACATCCGCTCCTCAGAGGTCCAGAGCCTTGCAGCACAGAGGTCCTCCCACCTGCAGGTGTGCAGACGGGACGCACACAGACACATACATGCACACGTATGAACATGCAGACACAAACACGTGCCTGTACATAGAGACATGCATGGGGACATATATATGTACAGGCACGCAAATGTACATGCATGCACACACATATGCACACTGATATACACAGAGGCCATACAAACACATACAAATACACACATGCGCAGACACCCCCCCCATAAAAATGCATGCACACAGAGACCACATGCACACAGACACCCTCCCCCCTGGCCCTCTGTGGCACTCTGCATCCCTTAGCCAGTGATCAGGACATATTTGCTAAATAGTACATAAGCGCAGACTCTTGGATCCAGGAAACCAGCATGCCGGGCTGGGCTGCCTGTCTGCTGTGGCCCTGCCACCCAGCTGCCTGCAGCCGGCTCCCAGGGCAGCACAGCACGGAGTGGGGCCCCGGGCAGGACAAGCCACTGAGCTGGCAGCCCCTGCCTCCTTAGGGCTGGCAGGACTTCTTTGCAAGCTGCTGGGGCTGGGATTGCTGGCCCTGGTGAGGGGTCTCAAGGGAGCAGGAGAAAGTAAAAGGGGATGTGATGCTCGGGGCTGGTCTGGGGATAACTCTGGGCCTTGACCTCAGCTCTCAGTCTGTCCAGCCTGCGGGACTCACTGTCCAGATCAGCCTGGCCATGTGCAGGGCTTTCAGGCCTTTAGTTACGTCTTCTGCTGCCTGACCCCCCAGGCACAGCTGGGCTGAACTTGAGCTTGACTGTGTCCAGATGTGCAGCCGTTCACAGGGAGTTGTCATCGGCCCACATTTGTCCCATTGAGTCCTGGGGTGACTCTTGTGGGCCGTGCTTGGCTGCCTGGGCACAGTGGGGGCTGAAAAAGGAAGCAGTGGGCATCCCACTTGCTGTTAGGGCCTCTGTGGGAAGGACCAAGCCCAGGGGTGTTTCTAGGACAGAGCCATCTCTCTAGCTTTGAAAGGTCTTTTAGGGACAGTCGTGTCTAGTGGTGCACAACTTTGGGTTTTGCTCACCAGTCAAAAATTACAAAAATAGAGGCTGCGGGTGTAGCTTAGCTCGTCTAGCATGCGCGAGGCCCAGGGTTCCATCCCCAGCAATCCATCCCGGCCAAATTGCAGAAACAAATGAAGGAGGAGGCATCTGACTGGAAGCCATCCCTGGCCCTCATGCCACTCCGACCTGGCTTTCTTCAACACCATCAAGAGGAAAGTGGGCACGGTTTCCACTCGATGGGCTTCGAGGCCCATGGCAAACACTTGGTGCTTTGGAAAGCCTAAAATGCATAGCACTCATTTTCCTCCTTGGTGATAAAAACCTTGTCCTCGATTAGCACCAGTGGGCAGCGTGTGTTTGGAACAATGTGGAGACGGAGGGAGGCCCAGGAAAAAGTGAGTAAGTGGCAGGTGGGGTTGGAGGTGGGGCCTGTGGACCCCAAGTCCAGGACTCTTTCCCCAAGGCTGATGGGGCCTGGTCCCTACTGGTGGCCCCAGGACTCTGCTTCTCAGCAGAAGCCTGCAGAGTGGCTGTGCCTGAAGGCTTCCTGCCACGTTCTGCCATGCCTAGAGTCCTGGGACAGGGGACCCCAGAGCCCACCTCTCCGCAACTTCCCCGGACCCCCGAGCCCACCACAGAGCCAGGCTCCAGGCTGGCGCTTCAGATGCTGCCTCCTTCCCGGGTGCCAGCTCCCTCCGGGAACGCTCTGTGTCTCTGGCTGCCAGCATCCCTGGGATGACGTTTCCCTGGTGCCAGCAGGGAGGGGCCACATGTTCTCCATATGCCATGGGCTGGGACATTTACACGGAGCAGCTGGGATCTCCCCATTCCTGGGCAGGGCCTTCCCTGCCTTGCCTGAGTCTCTTTGTCCTCCCTGGCATCTTGGCCTCCCAGGCAAGGTGGGGGATGAACAGGAGGTTCTAGCATTTGCAGGGCTCTGTATGCAGTGGTCTCAGTCCGACAGATACACACACCCTGAAATCAGGCCAAACAGACGTCTACCCTTCGCCAGGAACTGCAGGGACAGGGAGAGGGGGCCTTCCTGTCCATCCATCCATCCATCCATCCACCCATCCATCCATCCATCCATTCCTCTGTCTCTCCATCCATCCATCCATCCATTCCTCTGTCTCTCTATCCATCCATCCATCCATCCATCCATTCC